TGAGGTGTTATCATCACCCTTACACATCCATGTGTAAGGGTAGATGTAGCGTGTTACCGACGAATTCAATTGAATTCATAATTTTGGACGCAGAGTAAAAATTTATATTTAAAAATTAAAATTATAACAATAATAGATATGAACTATAACTTTAAAAATATAATAGATTTAATGCTAAAAATATTAAAAGTTAAACTCATGAATCGAAGTGATAGCTGAAATTTTAATTTCTTAAGTCATATATTCCAATACGAACATGTAAGAGCTCTTCCCAGGTCCTTTTTGTATACTTGAAAAGTTGACGTTGTGCTTGACCCATTGTTCAATAAATTTTATCAAAACCGCCCCTAGATTATACAATAAACTTGAGTTTCATCCTTTATTTATTCTTATGAACAGAAAACATCCTTCAACTATAACAAAGTGAGCAGATGCATCCTACATCTACTCCAACATTTAAAGCTAACGGTTGTCTAACTATTCCCTCCTCTCCTCCCCTCAAATAGTCAAATTCTCCGCTCATTTGTTACGCTTCAATGACCACTCCAATCAACAACCTTCTCTTCTTTCTTGTCTCCGTCCGTTTAGGTTTAATTGGTCATTTGGTATTAATCTTTTAATAATAATTTGTTACTTCTGTTGTAATTTATGTGGACGAGATGACAAGTAATCTTTATCCTACATTGCTTTCATGGTAGACACATCGAGTTGTCTCAATGAGCTGTTTGATTCAACATTTTGTATTTGAAAAAGTGAGTTGTGAAATGCCTATTACCTGTTTGGTAAAATGCCAGAGTGAACTGTTTGATTTTGCTGTGAAATGACTATTGCTTGGTTTTACCGTTAACTACTGATGATTTTATACTTTGCCATTCAGATTGCATGAGGCTAGTAAAGCCTTTGCTTTAGGTCTCCTAAATTCTGGATCCCCAAAAATATTTTTAGTTATGAATTTTTCATCTTATTTTCGCTTAGACAATATTAAAGTTTATAAAAAAAAAATACAAACTCCTCATAAAAGTAGAAAGAAAGGCTATCTATTTTTTAATAATAGAAATATTTTAGAACTTTAAATTAAGCTACTTAAATCTTTATATTGGTAAATAATATTTTTTAAAATAAGATCCAAGGTAACACATTATAAATACGTGGGTAATACCTTATTAACTTGAATTTTCTTATCTAAATATTAATTCTCCATATTATATTTTGTAAGATAACTACACTACAAACAAAAAGAAAGAAAAAAATAAACCAATATCAATATTAATATTATGTTTTGTAAGATAACTACAACGAAAAGAAAAAGAAAAAAGAAAGGCCCCTTTCACTTTAGGCCATGAATTTTATTGAGACATCCTTGATAATTGTCTGTTGGTTAAAAATCCGAAATATCACCCTTATCAGTATATAAAGTGGTAGTGCAGACGGAAGCTCTCAAGAAACTGAAATCATTACTTAAGAAAACAGACACTATGAATTCTTAGTTGGTTGGCCATTGCCTCTTGATAAATGAATGGTACAGTTTGATTTTGACGAAATTTCCCATTTATGCCATAAATACAGTAATGAATTTGGATTACTACGTTACCATCCACATCACCGGCCAAAATTATCTTCAGCCTATTAGTTTCTTTGATTATCCACTACAATTTTTCTTGACTTTTCTTTCTTGCCTATGTTTTCCTCTAGGTTGATCGAATGTTGCCAAGGCGTTACGCTGAGGTCTCTATCCCCTACAACTTTGTAATTAGGTTTTGCAATATATTCCAAGTTTTCATTTTAGCTAGCGATATTTATAGAAAAAAAATACAAACTCCTCGTAAAAGTAGAAAGAAAGGCTATCTATTTTTTAATAATAGAAATATTTTAGAACTTTAAATTAAGCTACTTAAATCTTTATATTGGTAAATACTCCCTCCGTTTCAATTTATGTGAACCTATTTCTTTTTTAGTCCGTGCCAAAAAGAATGACTCCTTTCCTTATTTGGAAACAATTTACCTTTATGCAATGATTTATAGCCACACAAAATAGATGTGCCTCATTTTACACCACAAGTTCAAAAGTGTTCTCTCTTTTCTTAAACTCCGTGCCCAGTCAAATGGGTTCACATAAATTGAAACGAAGGGAGTAATATTTTTTAAAATAAGATCCAAGGTAACACATTATAAATACGTGGGTAATATCTTATTAACTTGAATTTTCTTATCTAAATATTAATGCTCCATATTATATTTTGTAAGATAACTACACTACAAACAAAAAGAAAGAAAAAAATAAACCAATGTCAATATTAATATTATGTTTTATAAGATAACTACAACGAAAAGAAAAAGAAAAAAGAAAGGCCCCTTTGGCTTTAGGCCATGAATTTTATTGAGACATCCTTGATAATTGCCTGTTGGTTGAAAATCCGAAATATCACCCTTAACAGTATATAAAGTGGTAGTGCAGACGGAAGCTCTCAATAAACTGAAATCATTACTTAAGAAAACAGACACTATGAATTCTTAGTTGGCTGGCCATTGCCTCTTGATAAATGAATGGTACAGTTTGATTTTGACGAAATTTCCCATTTATGCCATAAATACAGTAATGGATTTGGATTACTACGTTACCATCCACATCACCGGCCAAAATTGTCTTCAGCCTATTAATTTCTTTGATTATCCACTACAATCTTTCTTGACTTTTCTTTCTTGCCTATGTTTTCCTCTAGGTTGATCGAATGTTGCCAAGGCGTTACGCTGAGGTCTCTATCCCCTACAACTTTGTAATTAGGTTTTGCCATATATTCCAAGTTTTCATTTTAGCTAGCGATATTTGATTGAACACGGGGTTTGTAAGAACATATGTCATTTGGTACATACCAAAAGTACCATTAGAAGGTGAAGCCAGTAAGACTAATGCTTTAGGCCCCCAAATTTGGTGGTGGTGGGGGCATTATTAGCAAAAATAGGTTATAGGCTTATAGTTTTGTTTCCCTAAATACTGATTGAGAAAGACATAAACATACTTTACGGAGTTCTATATGGAACCTTTGGACCTGAATTTTATCATTAACTTAAAGTGTAAGATGGGGAGTGCGGACACCATCGTAAGTAAATTCAGTTCCTTTCTCATTTTTCATGCCTTTGTTTCTTATGCCAATGTCTCAACTATTGCTGTTGAACAACATTAATTGATTTGAAGGTTCTTATTACTCATTACATTATGCTCAACAAAAAAGAAAAATTATTTTCCACCACTGCAATGTAGAAATTGGATTTATTTGATGAGAATGTTGATAATCACAAAGTCTCTTGAAGATTTTTTTTAAAAGTTGATTACTTCTTATATATAGTAAACCAAGCCAAGTTTCACTTCTGAGTAGATTTAAACAATTTGAAGCGTATGTTCTTCAATATTCCTTAAAACATAATAGTCACTCTAATATTGACGATTTTGACTTATTTTCTGAATTAAAAGTGTTAAATGATTTAGACTTACCCATGATCAACAATGTCTCAAGAAATATTAAACGAATTAGCTATATTATCAATTGAAAAATAATAATTAGAAGAAATCAACAAAAAATAACTTTGTATCTCACAAAGCTAAAAAAATAGACTTCTAATAATCTAAGATTTTCTTTTTAAGTTTAAGGCCTCCCATTAAATTTTGGCTTTAGGCCCCTAATGTGGTTGAGCTGCCCCTACTTGTGGTCTTAAATATGTCATGACATTTCTATGGCTATAAGAGCATTTCATTGAGGATAGAGTGAGAACTGAGAAGTATGCAGAAAGGTATTAATCTTTTCTAAACAGAATAAACAGGGAAGAGTTTCGTATAAAATGGATCTATTAGTATACTAATAGTTACTGTCTTATCGATGATAGAATGGAATGGAACAAGGATTCATGGGGTTGTTCTTAACTAATTTGAGATTGAAGCATTGTTGATTGATCATGTAATAGAATATTTTAACTGGTTCTAACATGTTACTTGCCCTCTTTTCAATTACCTATCCGTGCTTGTTATGAACAGATCTGTGATTTGCTTTTAAATAACATAGTATATAATAAAATATTTTATACTATTTATGCATCAAAGTATGTCTAATTTAATGAACATATGCCTTTGTTTCATGCTACTTTCTCTGCAGTTGCTAGATCCCATGTAGTGCAGCGGGGAAATGGACAATGTATTCTTTGCATATTATTTCCACACACCCGACTTAAGAAAGAAAGAAAAGATTTCTGAAAAATAACAAAAGTAACCTTAGAACTTTGGTCTTAAACATGCGATGACAATTCTATGACTATAAGAGTATGTCATTAAAGATAAAGTGGCGAGTTTGAAGAGCTTCCGAATATAAAAAGGTCTCATTCTTTTTTGGAGCCGTCTTAAAATAAGTATCATATAAAATGGAAGAAATGGAGTATATACTAATAGTGTTAACAAAATTACACTATCTTACCGAGAATAGGGTAAAGGATAGGGATTATACAGACGTCCTCAACTAATTTGAGATTGAAACTTTGTTGATTGATCGAGTTATTGAGTATTTTAACTGATTCTAACATGTCACTTGCCCTCTTTTTCAACTACCTAACCATACTTGTTATATCTGCTGTTTGCTGTTGATTAAATAACGTAGTAGTAGTTTATACTGTGAGTATAAAATAAATCCAATTCAAGGAACAAAAGCCCTTGTTTTACCCTTCTTTCTATGTATTGCCTAGAATCCACGTAGTGCAGCAGAGAATGGACTACATAATCTTTGCATTTTATATCCACCCTTTGTAAATATGAAAAGTTCTATTGAAATCGTGAGGGAAAAATCTTGAAATGCCCACCCTCTATAAAAGAAATATGGATAATAATATAAGGTCTCATATACAAATGTTTGTCAGTAATTAAAGGACGTTAAATCATGAGTAACATATAAGAAGATATCCTAATTCATATGTCCTTCTCTGTTTCTTTCTTTTGTTTCTTCCTTTACTGTTTTCAGTGAAAAACCAGAAATGGCCAAGTCTTGACTCATCCAAAGGGAAGAAAGTCATCAAGTCATGTATTAATATGTATGGTGGATAAATATAGACATTTCTTGTGCCAATTCCAGCATAGTAAAAAAAAAGGATTTTTCTCTAACCCAAAAATGATTACTCGCAGGTAAAACTTCTTTTGTCTGGCTAGGCCCATATCCAGTAGTGTTGATCACAGCTCCTGAACATGTAAAGGAGATTCTGACAAAGAGTTATGTTTATCTAAAGCAAACTCATCCCAATCCATTGACCAAGTTATTGGCTCAAAGTCTTGTAAACCTTGAGGAAGAGAAATGGGCCAAACACAGAAAAATTATCAATCCTGCCTTCCATGTGGAGAAGTTAAAGGTTATACTTCTTTCTCTTATTACTTTCTCTGTTTCATTTTATATTTATTTTGACGGGCAAGTTCAAGAAAGAAAGAAAACTTTGAATCTTGTGGTCTTAAACAAAAGATGCGTATAATGAACAAAAATGTCTTTTAAATCTTATGTTCTTAAATATGCCACGGCGGATATTGGAAGCTAAGGGCTACTATATATAGAAAGTGGCATTCTTTATTAAATAGACTGAAAAGGAAAGTAAGACATATAAATTGAAATAGAGGGAGTACCAAATTTAGAGAAGATGGTAAATTTCAAATGCCTTGGACTTAAGATTGCATATTGAGATGTCTAACCTTAAGAAGTTATCCATTTATAACAAGCTCTGGCTTTTCCATTTGTTTTGTACAGCATATGCTGCCAGCATTTTATCAGAGTTGTAGTGAAATGCTAAGCAAATGGGAGGAGATTGTTCCAAAGGAAACGTCATTCGAATTCGACGTATGGCCAGATCTTCAAGTAATGACCAGTGAAGTCATTTCTCGCACAGCATTTGGGAGTAGCTATCAAGAGGGAAGAATAGTATTTGAACTTCAGAAAGAACAAGCTGAGTATGTAATGGAAAAAGGACGTTCAATTTATGTACCAGGATCAAGGTACAATAATTACTTCTCAGATTTCCACGTTTCATAACTTTCTTTGTCATTAAAAAGGAAATATCTGACTCTTAACAAATTAATACAAAAGGAACTGAACTTACTATGCCTTTCTACGAAAAGACTTATCTTGTTTGCTTAAATTTGTTTTTATAGGTTCCTGCCTACTAAAACGAACAAGAGAATGCTGGAAATCGAAAAGGAAATTCAAACAACAATTAGGCGTATCATTGACAAAAGATTGAGGGCGATGAAAGCGGGGGAGACTAATAATGAAGACTTGTTAGGCATATTACTTGAATCCAATTTGGAAGAAATTGAACTGCATGGAAGCAAAGAGTTTGGAATGACAACATCAGAAGTGATTGAAGAGTGCAAGTTATTCTATTTTGCTGGCCAAGAGACCACTTCAGTGTTGCTTGTTTGGACAATGATTTTGCTGTGTTTACATCCAGAGTGGCAAGTACTTGCCAGAGAGGAAGTGTTGCAGGTCTTTGGAAATGATAAACCAGATTTGGAAGGACTAAATCGCCTTAAAATTGTAAGTACTTCTCTTCTAGTCTTTTCTAGAGTATGTTTCGTGTCCCCTCAATATTGTCCTATCAAACCCCCTAAGTTGACAAGCAAACTAAGAGGCCGATTTGCTTGAGTACTAATTGAAAGTAGTTATAAGCAGCAAGTGCTGAATAATATTTTTAGGCCAAATACCTGTGCGGCCCCTTAAACTTGGCTCCAGTTTCTATTTTGACACTTCAACTAAGGCCAGTACCTGTTGAGCACTCCAACTTATTTGAAAGTGTACTTATTAAACACAAAGTATGCCATGGCAAACACAAGTGTTTCTCACTTTCCCAAAGCCTCATGCCAAAACCATATTTTTTTCTTTTTTTAATTATTTGAAAACACATTTTTTACCTGAAATGACCTCACCAACTCCACGACATAACACCGTGAACCACCGGTAGCGTGAACCCAAAATGCCATAACCACCAGCTTCAATGTCTCTGTCTTTCCTTACAAAAATCACAACTATCTTCAACAACACAAAACACATACAGTTGCACCAACAGCTTCACTAAAACTCGACAATCGTCTCACCTCACCTTCACCAAAAAATCTCATACACAGAGAAAATCACCATTAACACAGAACAAAAACCTCCCTTTCAACAACAACAATAACAACCCAGTAAAATCTCACTAATGGGGTCTGGGGAGGGTAGTGCGTACGCAGACCTTACCCCTACCCCGAAGGAGTAGAGAGGCTGTTTCCGAAAGACCCTGGGCTCAAAAAAACAAAAAAACAAAAGGACAAAAAGGAGACAAAAAAACCTCCCTTTCAGATTCTTCAATTTCGTCAAACGTAAACAGAGGAATCAAAGGTACACACAACGATTTAAACAATTCACATTCTTCCCCTCAATAAAAGTCATTGGAACTTGAATTTTTCTTAAATTTCAATCAAAAAATAAGATTTTAAATTTTTGTTCGTAAAATAATTAAAACCCATAAAGGAAAAGAAAAAAGAAAAAAAGAGAGAAAACCCCAAGAAATTTGAGAAAAGCTTGGGATATCCATTTACGTTCTCAAAGGAAAGAGAATCATAGATTTGGGGAAAACATCAGTATATTTGAGTGAGTCATCTTATCTTTCTGCCTCGTCCAAGTATCAAATCAACATCATTTTTGGTGAAGACAGTGTCGATGGTAGCTACGGTCGAAAGTGATTGAGTAGTTTTTATCTGTACATAGGTGAGGATTACCTGACAATGAATGGTGAAGGAGGAGGAACTGGGAAGAGAAGGGCGAAGAGACGATGGAAATACTTAGGTGGGGGAGGGGATTTTATGTGAAAATAAAATTTCTTTTTTTCTTAAGATTATTTGGACCCAAATGCTACGTGTCTTTGTATCATTCGTCACTTTGCCACCTCATCCGCGTGTGACTAACACACGCTTTATTTTTTTGACTGGCAGTAAGTGAGGTGTTTAATAGGTACACTTTCAAATAAGTTGGAGTGTTCAATAGGTACCGGCCTTAGTTGAAGTGTCAAAATGGAAACTGAAGCCAAGTTTAAAAGGCCGCACAAGTATTTGGCCATATTTTTATATGCTGAAACCGATTTTATAACTGATACATTTGAATAGAAGTACAAACAATTGATGTGTTTGGTAAAAAAAAAGTATTCATAATCATTTTTTGTTAAAATTATTAAAACTCCCTTAAAGATACTTATAAAATGTATAAATTAAAAAGTATCTTTACAATGAGAAGGACAAACTACAGAAATGGAATGGACTGTGAGTTACTGCTTTGTTTTGGGAAGGTATTTAGTGGATTATAAAAAATATTAGGGATAAAGTAGTCATAGTTTTGGCCAAACCAAAAGCGCTTATAAGCTGAAATCAACTTATGGCTTTTGGATTATATATACTTCTGGTGTTTTCCAACACGTAGGGCAGCCCGATGCATTAAGCTTCCGCTATGCGCGGGATCCGGGAAAATGCCATACCACAAGGGTCTATTGGAGCCAAAAATGCTTATAAGCTTGTTAAAGCTTATCCAACTACCCTCTAATCCAACTGCCAAAAATGCAATACTTTTTTCACAGGTGACCATGATCTTGTACGAAACGTTAAGGCTATTCCCACCATTACCTGTATTTGGTAGAAGGACTAAAGAAGAAGTGAAATTGGGAGAGCTAAATCTACCAGATGGAGTGGTACTCCTTATACCTGCAGTTTTGGTACATTATGACAAGGAGATATGGGGTGAAGATGCAAAGGAGTTCAAACCAGAAAGATTCAGTGAAGGTGTGTCAAAGGCAACAAATGGACAAGTCTCATATATACCATTTGGCGGGGGACCTCGAATTTGCATTGGACAGAACTTTGCAATGTTGGAAGCAAAAACGGCAATAACTATGATACTTCAACGATTCTCTTTTGAGCTATCCCCATCTTATACACATGCTCCATTTGCAGTTGTGACTATTCATCCTCAGTATGGTGCTCCTCTGCTTATGCGCAAACTTTAAAATTATATTTTACATCATTGGCATTGTATTCTCCATGCTTTGAATGAGCGATACTAAATTGTCGCGTGATGGCTGAAGTTGCTCTTCGAATTTAAACACTGCTTGGTTAATGTTATCAGAATTGTTCACTTCTTAAATTTTTTTCCTTTCCTTTAGTTGGTGTATTTGTTTAGCTTTTGATAACATTCCATCTAATCTTGTGAAGAGTTTGAATAGTACTTCCTATTGATGCAACTCAAACATTTAGCTACATTTCAAAAAACAATAAGTAGATTGAACTGTGCATATCACTCACATTAAGCTTTGCAAGTCAGTATACAAGCTTTGCAAGTCAGTATACGTGCCCACATCTCAAAGTGTTAAATCGTAAGTAGTCTAAAGGAACACATTACGAACAATTAGGATTCAATGTGCAAAAGGCCTGATATCTCGTTTCCTTATATATATAGTGAAACTCTTTAATTTCTGTTACCACCACCCTTCAAATGAGCAATATGTTTTTTATGCCCACTACTAGTATCACATTAAATTCCAAATCCAGTCTTGTCAAAAGGAAAAAATCCAAATAACCTATTAGGAAAATCAGATGTAGGATTTGGGTGTCTTGTTGTAAAATCATATACGTACGAATGTTTAATGAAAATCATATGCGTATCCTGGCTCACCAAGGTAAATTAATAAGTCATTTTCATAAAACATACGTATATGATTGTACTAGATGCAAATGACAAACACAATTAAATAAATATTCAACATAAATCTCAACAATTGCAGAAATCTCCTATTTCTCCTTGTCTGTTTAACATTTTGGTGAAGGACAATAGTTTGCACAAGAAAGAAGAAACAAGACACTTACTCCATATAGTAAATACAAGTATAAGGAGCTAAATTAATATATGGGACAGGATTATCCCACGGTAACGATCGAATGAATTTAGCATATGTTTTCCATCTCAATCTTTTTAGCAACGTTGAACATCAAAGTCACTTAATTATGTCGGAAGGTCATTCAACTAGATTTCTCAAACTTATGATTGCCAAAAATCTATTTTACCCTCCAAATTATCAACGTTTCTCTTCTTTTTATTTTTTTATTTTTAACTTTTTAATATTGTGATTTTTTCTCTTTTTAATTTATATTATGGACTTACCTATATAATTCATAAATTTTATTTATAAAAAATAAAAAATAAAAATAGTATTTGAGCATTTATAATGTTGGAATAACAAAAATATTGAGCATAGTAGAAAAACAATTTGTTCGTAATAATAATTTTGATATTAACAACAAAATCTCAAAAATTTATTTACATAATTCAGAATGAAAGAAAATAAAAGTTTTAAAATAGATATTCCATGCACGTAATATAAAAACTAACTAATTAAAATAAAGGTATTTATAACAATACATTATATATATTCTTGAATATTATGCTCAATTATATTATTATTCCGACATTATATATGCTAGAAAGTTTTTTTATTATATTAATAAAATTTATTTATTCTATAGGTAAGTCCATAATGTAGATAAAAAAATCATAATATTAAAAAAGTAAAAAGAAAAAGAAAAAAGTTAATAATTTAAAGAGTAAAATATGTATTTGACAATCAAAAGTTTGAGAAATCTGGTTGAGTGACCTTTTGAGTGCTATAAGCATAATTAAATGACTTTTATGTTACAAATAAAAGAAAGATGACTTTATTAGATAATTTCATATAGTTGAGCGACTATTTAAGTAATGGACTCTTAAAAATTGCAATATACAAATAAATATTAATAATTGTGTATAGAATTCAAAAGAAAAAAGTAAAAATAAAATAGTTAACCATTTTGGATTAAATGCATGGGAGTATCTACAAAAAAACATTTTGTATGGGACGAAAGCTAACTTGGTGATCGTTTGGTAGGATGTATTCGGGAAAATAATATATGTATTAGCTTTAGTATTATTAATTCCTTATTTGATAGTGTTTTTCAACCTATATATGACTAATACTTGTATTGGTTATACACTCTATTCATTATTATTCTTATTCATAGCAAACTATGGTATTAGCAACACCATGATTCTAATACACGGATAAGCATGTATAAAGTCAGAACTGGTTTTAATACACCAAACCAAAAAGTCAATAAGAAATAATCTCAAGATAATTAATTACAACATTACTAATACGCGTTATTCAGTACTATTCTTATACACCCTACCAAACGACCCCTTATTCATTAGCCCCGTAAAACTTTAACACAGTAAAATGTAAGTATGACGTATATCTGTCTCATCCTTAGACTAGTGCCCATCAAGTGTCGATTTATCTTAATTTTTAGTCTTTGATTGTCACTACCAACTATGCCGATGAAAATTCATGAAAAAGTCTTGCCCCTCATTCATGCACTAGTATATATTTTGTGTTTCCATCCTCTCATAAAACTCCACAAATTTGACCAATTGGGAGAAACATCTTTATTCGTTATGTACAATTTCATCAATTACCTCATTTTCTCGTCGATGTTACAGAAAAGCAGGTACTCTTAACTTTTTATACTATTTATTACAAGAGAAAAGAGTATACCTGAGAGAAGTGGGTTGCTCTAGTGGTAAGCACTTTCCACTTCCAACCAACCAACCAAGAGGTTGTGAGTTCGAGTCACCCCAAGAGTAAGTTCTTGGAGGGAGGGAGTCGAGGGTCTATCGGAAACAGCCTCTCAACCCCAGGGTAGGGGTAAGTTCTGTGTATACACTACCCTCCCCAGACTCCACTAGTGAAATTAAAGATGATAGCAGTTGTCTGTGTTACAATTTTGGTGGTAGTATATATATGGAGAGCATTGAATTGGGCATGGTTTAGGCCAAAGAAATTGGAGAAATACTTAAGACTAAGTGGTCTTAAGGGAAACCCTTACAAGCTACTGTATGGAGATTTGAAAGAGTTGACAAATAAACTCAAAGAAGCCAAGTCTAAGCCCATCAATTTCTCTGATGATATTGCTCAAAGGCTTATTCCTTTTTTGTTTGACTCCATCAACAAAAATGGTATGTATCCTTTTTACTGTGGATATTTTCATGTATATTTTACTCCGTATGATCTACTTTCACTTAAAATCATGCATAGTAAAAGCCCTGATTCTTTTTTGAAGAATTAACCTAAATAGTCGTTCACCTAACCGTTTAAACTAAAAATAACCGGCGGAGGTACAATGAAGAATTAACCTAAATACCTGATTCGCACGGGTACTTAGACTAACAACAAAGCAACTCACCTCTCACGCAACTGAATTGTTAAAGAGGACAGAGTTGAGGGCCCACAGCGACCACATTCAAGTTTGAAAATCACTATGGTTCAATTAAATCACTCGATGGTTGCCAAAGTCAACACAAGAGTCACAAAGTCTCTAACTAGAGCTATTTCTTTTAAAAACCTTATTTTTAACCATAAACACGTAGTTAAGTGTATTGGTGCCAAATGAAGCACGATTGATTCTTCGAGCATGACTCAATTAGGTCTTTTTATTCATTACTACTACTATTATTACCTAAACACAAAACAGACTCATTCTCTTAAGAAGGTTGTCACGCCATGTTACATCCCGTACTTTTCTATAGAGGATATGTGACCATAAGACCCTGTAAGTTTAACAACCTTGATACCGTTAGATACATTTTGATATGGCATTTATATTGAATGGAACATTTTTGTAAAAAGTTTAAAAAATATGATTTTATATAGTAATTAATATTATTATAGAATATATTTTAAATTATACACATAATATAAGAAAGTTTATGAGATTTTTCTTTCACATATTATGAACCATAAAATCTCACCAGCTTGGCATGTATTGGTATACAACCTTTTAAGTTGAAGCAAGAACAAGAAATAGTCTTATTGTGTAGTCCTAACAAAGGATGGAACACTCTTTTCTGAATTTCAAATGGTTTGTACAAATTGTACTACCGTACTTCCATTGCTCAATTGTTGTTATGTCTATGGCTGTGTAACGTGAGGCTTCCATAAGAATTTTCAGCCAAGATTTCCTTGCATAGTAACGTTAACCATTCTAAATATGTTTGGAAAGGGAGTTTACTTTGCTGCAAACTTTGTGGGTATACTAAGCGAAGGACTAAGAATTGCTCCTCCAGAAGCCCAGCTACAAAATTTTATACGAAGCTATACTGCGTAATAGCAATGGGATTTACAATTTTAAGAGAGCACAGTGTAATCTTTCTTAAGAGAATCGACTCAGGTATGTTAAGGCTAATTCTTCATTCTTTTGGCATGATTCAAGTAAGGATACGTAAACGTAATACTATTCCATAAGTGGTTCTACTCTTAGCTGTTAAGGATGTCCATGTTATTCATTCCTGTAAAGCGATATTCAAGCATGTCTAAGTATGTTGCTAAGTCTATATTGAGGCGTACGATAAAGATATTAATGTTTATAATATAGTAAGACACGCATCTTCATGCATATTCATTTACCACCGTGCTACGGCCGGTCAGGCAGTTACCACCGGTTGGGCAGTTATGTATCCTTATTTACCATCGGTTGGGAAGTTATGCATATTCATTTACCACCAAGCTACGACCGGTCGGGCAGTCATGCATTTACCACCGAGCTATGGCTGGTTGGGTAGTTACATATTTACCACCGAGCTACGGCCGGTCGGGCAGTTATGCATTTACCACCGTGCTACGGACGGTCGGGTAGTTATCACTGATCAGTTGGGCAGTCATGCATCATACGATATGGATAATAGTCTCAAAGAGAAGCATTATATATATAAGTATAATAAGTATGCATATACGGTGGCACTTCAGAGATTCAGGTTGATTCTTATATGTCTTTAATTAATGTTGTCTTATTGTTATGTTTCAGTTCTGCCTTACATACTCAGTATATTATTCGTACTGACGTCCTTTTGTTGGGGACGCTGCATGCATGCCTGCAGGTATAGATAATCAGTTTGACGAACCCTCATAGTAGACAAGATTGGCATTCAACAAAGGATCGGTAAGACTCCACCTCATTCGGAGTGCAGCCGAGTCTATGAGTCATCTTGTCAGAATTTTGCTAAAGACTTATAGGTAGGCCGGTACCCTGTCCCATTT